GTGCTCTGTTATGGACATATGTATAAAACCTTCTAGACTCATTACAGATGTAGCCTAGTACTTACCTTACTGTCCGTATAAAAATGTACGACGTCAAAGTGCAAGTCCAACTCATCCTGAACAAGGTCGGCCATTTCCACTGCCAAGACGGCTGCACAGAGTTCAAGTCTTGGTATAGTAGGTTCTGACACAGGAGCTAACTTTGCTTTGCCCATTATGAATCCAATCTCAACTTTGCCATCTGCTTGGACTGCCTTTAAGTAGCTTACAGCTCCTATGGCCTTAGTTGATGCATCTGAGAATAAATACAGTTCTTTATGCGTTGCTTGACTGAGTGAAGTGGATGTGAAGGTTCTGGGGACATGTAGTTCCTTTAAGTCCTGAAGGGAATTTCTCCATGTTTCCCATTTGGTTAGTTTGTCCTCTGGAAGGGGTGTGTCCCAATCTGAACTTTCTGAGGTGAGCTCTCTAAGCAAGGCTCTTCCTTGGATTGTGACTGGTGCCAATAGGCCCAGTGGATCAAAGGCACTGTTGACGGATGACAGAACTCCACGCCGAGTGAATGGCTTGTTTGTGTCGTCTACTGAGTACGTAAATGTGTCGGTTGTCATCTCCCAAATTAGACCAAGGCTTCGCTGGGATAGTGTTTCTTCCCCACTTAAATCCAAGTCTTTAATGACTGCTGCACAGTCTTCTGGGCAGAAGGCCTGGATAACTGCTTGTGAGTTAGAAGCAAACTTGTGCAGGCGTAGATTGGATTCAGCAAGTGAAGATTGTGTTCTTTGAAGCAAGTCTATCGCTTCAGCWGGAGAGGGGACAGAAATCAAGCCATCATCTACGTAAAAGTGCTTCTCCACAAACTTGACAGTATCAGCACCGTAGTCCTTTGCGCCTGCTCTGATGGCTTTGCGAAGTCCGTAAATAGCAACAGCAGGAGACGGTGAGTTGCCAAACACATGAACTTTCATGCGATAGTCGATAACTTCCTTGTTTAAATCATTGTCTTTGTGCCAGAGAAAACGGAGGAAGTTACGGTGGTCCTCACGCACCGTAAAACAGTGAAACATTTGCTGTATATCTGCCATGGTTGCAACACTTTCTATCCGGAAGCGGAGAAGAACTCCAAGGAGGGTGTTATTTAGGTCGGGGCCAGTAAGGAGAACATTGTTAAGTGAGACCCCACAGTACTGGGCACTAGAATCAAAAACAACTCTGATCTGATTGGGCTTTTTTGGGTGGTAAACTCCGAATGTTGGAAGATACCAGCACTCCTCTTCCTTTTTCAGTGGGGGTGCCACCTCAGCATGGCCATTAGAGAAGATCTTTCCCATGAAGTCCACATATTGCTCTTGCATTTTTGGTTTCCTGTTTAGGTTGYGTTTTAAGGCTAGGAATCTTGTGAGTGCTTGYTCTCTATTGTTTGGTAGTCGCTGGCGAGGTTCTTTAAATGGAAGTGGGGCGACCCAACTGTTGTCCTCATCTCTGTACATAGCATTGTCCATTATTTTGRTAAAWWTGGTGTCCTGGACTGAGAGAGCTAATTTATTGTCGTTTTCTGTCCGGTTAAAAACAGTTTGTCCCAGAACTTGCTCAGGTGCTTTACTCAGCCTATTTGTGTGTGGCGTTTCCTTGAGTTGCAGACGGCTGTTGCATGGTTCAAAAACTGTAGGTCGACCATTTTCCAGCACAACTGTTTTGAGGGTGCTGACGGTCGGCCTATGAAGACTACCAAGACAAACCTCGCCGACTACAACCCACCCTAGATCTAGACGCTGGGCAAATGGAGCATTATGAGGGCCATTAATGTTCTGTCTGACCTTGTGTGCTTGCAAAACATCTCGYCCCAACAACAGGAGTATTTCAGCTTTAGGGTCCAGTTCTGGGAGGTATTTTGCTATGGGCTGAAGATGTGGCTGGTCTAACACAGCGGTAGGGGTTGGGATTTCACTTCTGTTGTTGGGAATGTCCTGACACTCAATGAGTGGGGGTAGAGGGAAAACCACTGTCCTATCTAGTGACTCAATCTGAAAGTCTTGAGCTGTTCTACCCCATGTTTCTACAATACCAGAACATGTTCTAAGATTGTAGGAGAAAGGTTCGGTTTCAATGTCAAAAAGATTGAAAAACTCTGGCCTAGCCAAGGAACGATTACTCTGATCGTCTAATATTACATAAGCTTTGATTGCTTTGTTCTTGTAACCTTTAGGGTACACCCACACGAGACAAATCTTAGAACATGAACGACCCCACTGACCTGGACCGCACACATCTGTGCAGCTTGTTGTGACATCAACTGTGTCAGGGCTGTTTTCTCCCTCCCCGCCATTCTCTTGCGCTGGTGAAGGAGCCTTGTTGATCTGTGGTGGAGAACCAGGATGCATGATCGTGTCATGATTTGTGCTATCACATTCGGAACAYGTCACTGCAGATTTACAGTCCTTTGCAAGATGAGTGTCTGATGAGCAGCATTTGAAGCATATTCCTTTCTCTTTGAGGAAGGCCTTCCTTTCGTTGAGTGGTTTGTTCCGAAATGTCCTGCATTTTTTGAGTGGGTGCGGCTTATTGTGCAGTGGGCAGTTTCTGTTAAAGTCCTTGTTGTGGAGAGAAATATTGGTTTTGTGTACAGTAATAGGTTTAGTAGCGCTAAAGTTCTTTGAATAGAGTTTTTCAGGTTTTGTATATGTTTGGCTGTTTTGTTGGTGGAAACTTGGATCATTACGTCTCTTTGCTTCTTTGCACACAAATTTGCAGAAATACTCAAAGGGTGGGAAACAGCCTTGATTTTCCTCTTTATATTGAGATCCATGAGACATCCACCTTTCCTGAAGTCCATGAGGAAGTTTTTCTACAATTGGACCAATTCCACGAGAAGTGTCCAGATATTGTAGGCCAGGGAGGTAACCGTCTTCYTTGGCGCTTTGAATCTCTTGWAGCAGATCTCCTAGTTCACGCAGCTTGATGTTATCCTTGACAGTTATTCTTGGAAAACTGTCCAATCGTTGGAAAAGTGCCTTTTCTATCATTTCAGGAGCTGCATAACATTCGTTTAGTCTCTCCCATGCTTTGTGTAGAGCTAATGTGGGGTTGTTAACGTGTACTGAGCGTATGCGTTTTACTTGACCACTGGAATCTTTCCCCAACCATTTTGTCATGAGATCTAGCTCCTGAATGGGACTTAAATGAACCTCAGCTGTTGCACTTGTAAATGAAGAGTACYATGGTCCATAATTTTCTGGTCTATCATCAAACTGGTAAAGCCCCGAAGTGATTAGATCTCGTCTCGCCATGTATTGGGCAAATGGTTCAGCTAGATATGGAATGTTGGCTGGGGTGTTATTGTTAGGTGTGAAAAGTGAGGAATTTGGGTTGAGGGGAGTGTTTGGTTTCTCCAACTTTGGTTTTATTTTACTTCTCGGTTGACTGGTCATATTTAGGACAGTAACATTGTCTTTAGTAAGCTTTAGTTCAGAGCTGATTGGTTGCGGCTCTACACTGTTTTCGTCTAGAGGACGCCATGTGATAAATGTACTGGGTGAGCTTACTTGTGGGCAAGAGGTGGTTGGAATCTCTTCGGGAGATGGAGATTGTATTATRCTCCTTTGAGATTGTACATATTCACTTGTGCGTTCTAATTTTGACTTTTCTGATGGAGGTTTTCTGATTTCGGGCTCTTCTTGTGTTGCCTCAGCTTCCTCCAGCACTTGGGCTTCAGCCACAGCAGCATCAGCTTCCTTTTGTAATGTTAACACTTCCAGTTTTGCTTCTATTTTAGTTTTTTCCAGTTCACTTTGTGCTTTTTCAACTTTCAACTGTGCTTCTTTGGTTGCATAAGATGCTCTCACCTTAGCAGCTTCCGCTTTAGCACGAGCATGAGCAGCGCTTACTGCTGATCCAGATGAACGGCTCGTCCTTACACTGCATGCAGACTTGTTGCTGGATGCCATCTTGACTGTGAGGAATCATCAGTTGGCGCCTTTTCACTGTAGTGTTTTCAACAAGGATGTTGATGACACCAAGTTAAACCACAAATGAAGACCCTGGAGTTTAGTTGCAGCTTGTTTAATTGTCTTCATGAACATGTGGTGAAAACTGAAATGACAGAAAATACAATATCTCAACACTTAAGAGACATTTATACACAAATCAAGTGCTTCAAGCTCACTAAAATAACATTACAGAAAAATCTGCAATAATATCCAAACTCATCAGTATAAACTGACATATAATGCAACTTACGGCGTTCCTGTCTGATTATTCAAAGTGGATGGCATCTGATAACGTTTCCATACTGCATCTCGTGTGTGGATCTTGTTTTCCTAGCAAAYCATGAAACAGGAAGTGCGCACYCGGWACCGGAAGTAGAATTTACCAATAATATTTTTTCATACAAACTTTTATAAAGCATAAACTGTTCGTCTAAACAACTTTTAATCATTTGTAATAACATAGAAATACTTTTTAAATTATTTATTTGGCTTTACAAACTTACTTATTTATGTGAATGCCTTAAAGGGACAACACACCGTTGGTGGACACCTTCGGTGAGGGATGCTGTCAAGCTGAAGAAGGAGTCCTATCGGGCCTTTCTGGCCTACGGGACTCCAGAAGCAGCTGATGGGTACCGGCGGGCGAAGCGGCATGCGGTACTGAGGTGGTCGCTGAGGCAAAAACCCGGGCGTGGGAGGAGTTTGGAGAGGCCATGGAGAAAGACTTCTGCACAGCTTCGAGGCGATTCTGGTC